ATTGAATAATAGATTATGTAAGCGTATCTCTGCTAGTTAAGAAGCTATAAGCCAAAACGTAAAAAAGCATACCCTACCCATCCGCCAGCCTACTTATAACATCTTACACAGCCCCTTAATGTAGCTTATTTTAATTCTTTAAAGAAGGTGTTTAGGCGCTAAGCTTAAGTACTTATACATAACGTGGTTCACAAGCGAGTCGCCCACCCAAGTGAGTCGCCCACTAAACACCCGCGCCCCGCCTGCGCAGCAACAACGCGTACTGCCACAACAACGCAACATGCAAAAGACCTATACTAAAGGAGATATATTTATTGCTATCTCTAATATTAAGTCTAAGCAGATATAGAGCGAAAGACTCGCTGCAGCAGTCTATAACATCCTATAAACAATAATCTAAGACTAACGCGCTAGACAACACCCTTAACATAACTATAAGCTAAAATTAAAGCGCCTTATAAAGCTAGAAGAGGAGGCGATTATATAGTATATACTTAAAGAGAGTCTACGTAGAATACTGCCCTTAAAGGCGCATATACAAGATATAGCTAATAGACTACTAAGGGAGCGTGGTAGGAAGCCTATAGGCAAGAACTAGGTTAATAACTTTATTAAGCGTACACTAGAGCTGCGCACGCGATAGAGCCGTCTGTAAAATTGCTAGCAAGCTACCTGCAAAGACCTAGCGCTTATCTAGCCCTAGTTTGGCCTAGTTTAATTAATAAAGACAAAGTATAGTATTACAGATAAGGACACCTAGGACTTTAATAAGTCTAGCTTTATAATAGGCAAGATATCCTCTTAGCTTATTATTATAGGCTTAGAGAAACCTAGGAAATAGAAGAAACTACAGCCTAGCAATTATAAGTAGGTTACCCTACTACAAGGCGTTACTATAATAGGGTGTATTATCCTACCCTTCCTTCTCTTTGCAGGCAAGGTCCTAATCTCCTCCTAGTTTACTAGTCTACCTTACAACTAGGTTGTCACAGTCTCTCCTACTAGCTAGACTAATAACAACGTTGTGATAGCATAGCTTAAGCACTTCAACGCCTATACAAAGGTAACCTCTACTAGGGCATATAGGCTGCTTATTATTAACGGCCATAAGAGCCACTGCTCAATAGAATTCTAGGAATACTGCAAGGAGAACAAGATTATCACTCTCTGCATGCCACCACACTCATCGCACCTCCTGCAGCCTCTTGATATTGTCCCATACTCGCTGTTGAAGCGCCACTACAGCAACAGGATCTCGCTCTTAGCACGCAGCCGCATCTACTATATTAACAAAGAAACCTTCCTACATCGGGAAAAGTTTTTCGAAATCCGGCCCAGACTGGCCGTTGCTGACAGTCGTGGCATGGTCGTGCAACGGCCGTTCAACGGCCCCAACGGCCCCAATTTGCGCCCAACAGCCCTAATTTCGCGCCAACGTTGCTAACAGCCAAAATGCTAAGTGCCTATATTTAACAAACTTAAAATAATGTTGCAACATTGTTGCATAGCTACCCTTAGTTCTACTAGCACTAGTATTAAATATTTAAAAATTGCGAAATTTCATGTACAGATAGAGCGAAATTGTAGCTTTAAAATAAGCAAAAAATTATTATTGTAGGCCTACTACAACGCGAGTTATAGAGCGTTGAAGGTTTGTTTGTTGAAGGTTTGTGTTTTGAAGTTGCGACAGCACACCATGGCAGCTGCAGCTGCGCCAGCACACAATGTATCAGCTGCAGCTGCAACAGCACACGACGTAGCAGCTGCAACAGCACACAACAAAGCACCTGCTAACAAGCACACACTGCAGGACAGGCAGGCCTAGGCGTAGAATTCTTGGTTTACCTACTATTCTTGAATAATATTCTTGTATTTTCTAACATTCAGGCTGCTAGAGCCCTAGCAAAGAATCTTAACTTAGTGTCTTAGCAAGGAACATTAAGCTTAAAACCTTCTACGCTTAATAATTATTCTATTAATAGGCCTATAATATTATTTAATAGCTTATTTTAAAGAGGAGACTTAGTAGTATATTAATATAATAAAAATATAGTTTATTAAGCAGAGCTACTATTGTAGCAGGATTAGGAGTTATTGTGGCTATTACAGCTGTTAGGACTGTTAGAGCTGTTGGCTTAAAATTAGCTAGACATTAAATGCACATTAAATGACTGTTGTAGGCCTACAAGTCCTACTGTTGCCCATAGTACAATGCCACGATTTCCTGATTTCGACAATGGAAAAACTTTTCCTGATGTACTAGCCTTTAAAGTAGCTTTTAAGAGGACGTTTATACTAGAGAATATTCGCGCAGGGTTTTAAGGCGCTAGGCTAGCCCTTCATAACCCTAAGGTTGTGTTATTAAAGCTTGATGTACAGCTACGTACGCCAACGCCACCTGCACCAGGCACTGTCGCCTAGGAGGCGCAAACACCACGCAACGCCTGCGAGATAGAGGCGCAGTTAACACTAATCTAAAATTGCATGCAAAATTATTATAGGTCACTAGCAAGTTTATTAGATAAGGAGGTTAAGTAGTTAAGTAAAGGTGCTTAACAGATAGCTTATAATATAGTGTTAGTGCAGGAGGAAATAGGCTACCTATAAGACACTGTTACTACGCTAACAAAGCGCAAGACCTGTAAAAGGCGGTATATACGCGTAGAGGAGACTTTAATAGTTAGTAAGGTATCTAACCTAGTTACTAAAAAGGAGGGTAGTAGTTGTGAGGAGGGTGAGACGCCTGCAAAGAGGGTGCGCACAGAGAGGCGCTGCAGCTATTGCAGCAAAATTAGGCATAACTCCTGTACCTGTAAGGTAGAAATTAAAGACGTAGATAATAGTAACGCTTCTAAATAATATTATAATGTTAACGTATTCCACCACCTAACAGCTCAAACCACCT